GACATCTGGAAAGTCTTATTTCTTAACCACTCCTGGACCGGCTATCGTATATGCACATCACGGTCCTGAAGCAGTTATACCGGGCTGATTCCTGCAGCTGCGGGCATCAACCCAGTATTGTTTTTTCAACAGACGATGGGCTTTCTTGTAAAAGCAATCCAAGGGCTAATTAACCACTTGATTGCTTTTACAGGTGGTGGAAGGAAGTCCCCCTTCCACCCTCTGCCCTCTGGTGCCTCTCTGCTGGCTTACCATAGAGTTGATCGGGGAATGGATCTTCCCTGATCATCTTTATGGTATTAGAAAACAGAAACGATCAGTATTTTGTCACGTCCGGTTTCGCCAGCATGTAAACGAGTCACTTTTGACTTGTAAAAAGCATCTGATCACACCGATCTTGGTGCGATCAGATGCTTTTAAGGGCAGAGGAGAGATCTGGAGTCTAAAAGACACCAGATCTCTCCATAAAGAAGACCTGTCACTGGTTATTGTTATCTCAAGAGATTTACACTTGTAGTGATAGCAATAAAAGTGATAAAAAAAATTAAAGATACTATGTAACAATAAAAAATTTGAATAAAATAAATAAAAAGCGCCCCTATCCCACCACACTCACGCACAAAAGCGAATGCACACATCAGTCCCGTGTCAGTACGTAACTGGCGATCATACCACACATGTGAGATATCACTGCAAACATCAGAGCGAGAGCAATATTTTTAGCACCAGACCTCCTGTGTAACTCTAAACTGATAACCTGTAATTGCTTTTAAAGCGTTGCTTATGGAGGTTTTTAAGTACCGTAGTTTGGCACCATTCCACGAGCATGCTCAATTTTAAAGCATGGCATGTTAGGTATCTATTTACTTGGTGTAGCATCATCTTTTATATTTTACCAAACAATTTAGTATTATATTGAGTTTTGGTGCAGTAAAGTGTTACTAAATTGACAACAATAAAATCAATCTGTATATTCAGTAAAGCATGCTTGTTATACTCACTGCGGAACCTAAGGGGTTAATACTCTGCATTGTGTAAAAAGGCTGTTTGATCCTGACTTCACTGATCCTCCCCAAACTGGAGCTGGGGTTTCACATGCTCAGTTTGGTGTGTATTGTTTTTTTTTTCTTGGGAGAATGCATGTGATCATCACAGGGCCAATGAGCACTGTCCAGACATTGGGTCAGGGATTTTGCATCCTCCTAGAGCAGAAAGAAAACTCCTCTTACAAGATTTAACCAGTGCTATGCTGAACACTAATAGACGTCACAAGACTGCTCTAACTGCTGATGGGAAAAGGTATTAAGCAGTTTATATTTACTGAAATAATTGCATTTCCATGTAGTGTGCACCGTGGGAGATCATATAAAGTGAATGCAGGGCCCTGGGTTTAGTAACACTTTAAAATTTATTAATGTGTATTTTGTCTAAAAAATTGTGTTTGAAAACCCACTGTGCAAATACTGCGTGAAAATTGCAAGAACCACCTTTTTATTCTCTAGGGCCTCTGATAAAAAAAACAAAACATAATGTTTGGGGGATCTAAATAATTTTCTAGCAAAAAAAACAACAACTGATTTTTACATGTAAACAAAAAGTGTCAGACTATTATTTATATATTTATTTCAGGTACTTATATAGCGCCGTAATTTACGCAGCGCTTTTACATATATATATATATATATATATATATATATATACATATATATATATATTGTACATCCATATCAGTCCCTAACCCTCAAGGGGCGAAGGGGCATAACTCACATTCACACATACACATACTAGGGCCAATTTAGACAGGAGCCAATTAACATACAGCATGTCTTTGGATTGTGGAAGGATACTGGAGTACCCAGAGGAAACTCACGCAGGCACAGGGAGAACATGCAAACTCCAGGGAGGTGGTGCCGTGGCTGGGATTCGACCCTAGTACTGCCAGCTGGAGACTAGGCCTAGTTTTAAACTGGCACTCAATAGTCTTACTAAATCTGAACAAAAACATGTTACTTTCACTTTTGTGTACCTAATTTACCAAATGATAACAGGTACTATGGTTTTATGGAAAAAAAACATTTCTCTCTTACGTGACTCCCATAAGAAATTGCCCCAATCTTAGTGCCCTCCAGACATTTCTCCTTTCTGCAGTGCCCTTCAGTCCTACCCTTTTTTTTTTTCTTCTTCACCTTCCATCTACCCCACGCCATAAACCTAATCACAGTGCTCCCTTGTCTGCAGCATCACTGCAGGCATGTCCTGCAAACAGTTAACACTAATGATCTCACACAGGGCTGCTGTTATAAACCACAGGGCCCCTTACAGTCAACCTGACAGGGCCCCCCCAAAAAAAATGTACAACTAGTTTACTATGCTTCAGTAATGAATGAACACAGTGAGTGATCGGTACTGATTACTCATTGTGTTCATTCAGGGAAGGAAGAGGCTGGTAAATGTTACATATTTTCTGGAACCTTCCCACACTCCCCATCCTGAAGAATTCTATTGTGTGCTTGCAGCTGCCCGTGGGAAGGAGAGTACAGAAGCTGGCAGCACTGAGGAGGTGGGGGCACACAGGGGGGCCTGGGCAGCAGGGGGAAACATATGGTGCACAGGGAGGGTGATGGGTGTGGTGGGGGGGCAATTACTGGAACCAATCCCTTGTATCACACTCTCTCTCTCTGCAGCAGCTGAAAGCCAATGGGAGGAAGAGGAAAAGAAGCCAGCTGCTGCAAACAGAGCCATGCAGGGGATCGGTTTCAGTAATTGCCCCTTCCACTGTGCTGATTGCCCTTCCTGCCCACATCTGACTCACCCAGCTGGGCCCCCCTGCTGGTTTGGGCTCTGTACAGGAGGACTGATGGTACCCCCTTATCCATGGCCCTGATCTCACATCACGGGACTTAATTGACAGGAAAGCTACACCTGAACTCAAGATGGTTAAGGGACATGCCTTTTGAAAGGGGTTTCAAGTTTTCAGACACAAGTGATTGATAAGAACTGCAGTTATTTTATTAAAAAATGATGCTATGGTATTTTTCTTCTTATTGCTGCAGAATGGTCAAATGTAATTATGAAAAATGTAAAGACCTCAGTTAAAAGACAATGAATTTATCAGATGAGACAAGGGAAGAAAATCGTATGTGACACTTAGGGCAAACGTCTTATTAAAAATGGTCTAATTGCACAACAGTGTGGGAAAATATGATATGCCTTTTTGGCTCTAACGTAACCTACATGTGCCAATAGCATCACATAATATTTTTCACTTAGGAAGAAAATATTATGTTTCTCCGTATTTATTGTAGGTTTGTATATTCAGTTAAAATAAACACATGCAACAAAAAGCACAGACAAAATAAGTATGTGTGGCCTGAAGCAGAACAGCATGGATGTGCACTAAATTAGTACTGTCCTCATCAAGCCAAATTTACTAACAATAACCTGACAAACTCTGCTATAGGCTAAGGAAATACACATCAGAAGAAGCAGAGCTTCAACCACAAAGATATTCAACCATGCACAAAAGAGTATAAAAATGGTTAAAGGGGGACTATTTCACATCACAAGTAAGTTAAAGAAAGATCATCCACTCAGTTCTATTGTTTCAGCTTAAATGTCTCTTTGATGGAATTTAAAATTCCAGCCTTTGGTTTAGATATGTTTCTTTTTGACTTTATATCTCGCAGTGTAAAGGAGTCTTGTGCATGCTGGGGAGAAGACCACACTAGCAGCAGACAAGCATTGTCCAGCTAGTAATTTAACAAAGCAGAATGTGGAAAAGTAAACCATCAAAGTAACTTATTTAACATTAAGGCTATATTTGTTGCTGGCGCTTCCCTGGTATTTAGCCATTCATCTTTGGTTTCCTTGATTGGAGAAACAGGAAGATGGTCTAGATTAAAGTATTGCACGTAATGAGCTGGGATGCTGCTTTCTTCCTTTTGCATACTGTAGATTGCCCCTGCCACTTTATAAGCAAAAGTATTTTAAAGGCAAAACTTTTATTTCACTTTGAATAGAGTGAGGGGAGAGTTATAACCCATCAGGTTTTTTGCCATCTGTGTCCCTTTTGGCATACCTCCCAACTTTCTGAGATGGGAACAAGGCACACTAATTAACCATTTCAAGTCCAGACATTTTTACCCCCTTCCTGTCCAGGCCAATTTTCAGCTTTCAGCGCTATCACACTTTGAATGACAATTGCGCAGTCATGCAACACTGTACCCATATGAATTGTTTTGCATTTTTTTGAGACAGATAAAACTTTATTTTGGGTGGTATTTATTCACCACTGGGATTATTTTTTTTTTTTTGCTATATAAATGAAAAAGTAAAAAAAATTTTGAAAAAAAAAGTGTTTTTCTTATAAAATTTTGCAAATAAATAATCTTTCTTCATAAATCTTGGCCAAAATGTATTCAGTTATCTTTTTAGTAAAAAAAAAAGAACCCAAATTAGTTTATAACCAAAAATTATAATTTTTCAAAATATTTTTTTACATTTTTTTAAATATTATTATTTATGTTTTTTTACATACTGTCACCCTAGCAGTACAGTGTCACCATAGTGACACTGTACTACATGTGGGGGGTGATGAAGATTTTTTTTTTTTTACACTGATTACTTTTACACCCATAAAGGCTTTTACAGCAATCATTTATTCTTCTCTCTGGCTGCATTCTTGCAGCCATCGAGAAATACTGTGTGAGCTGTGATTGGTCACAGCTTGTCACATGGTACAAGGCTGTTGTGAATAGCCTTGTACCATGTGACCTCTGTGATCATTCACAGATTTCACACGTAGTAAGCAATGATGTCAGAAGTGACATCATTGCTTACTACTCTTCATGTGATCACTGATTGGCCAATCAGTGATCACATAATTGGGACCTCACACAGAGGTCCTGTACAACTATTGGTGTTCCACTATGTCTGGAGGACATAGCAGGCACCGGATCGCTCCCAGGGAGCGCACACAAACAGGGAGCTGGGACGCCATTTATAAACGGCCACCCGCCCCTGCACTGCTCCAGTCCGGCTGTTTATATACATGGGCCGGACGGGAAGTGGTTAACAATAGTACATAGGCATAGGACACACCCTCTGCCACGTCCCCCTTAACAGAGATCTATACCAAAAAATGATTGGTGAAACCCACAAGTGCTTTTTTTTTTTAACCACTACTATTCCTTTATATTGGCTTTTGAAATTTACAAATGCAGCTATTTAGAAGCTGGATGAAAAGTTTAACACTTTTTGATAGGTATGGTGCATTTTATAAACAACTACCCTCAAAGTTTGAGACAGTTGGGAGCTATGCCTTTGGGGAGATTTCCCTTCACTTCCTGTCCCATAGCCAAAAAAGTGAGGAAAGCCTTGCAAATTGAGGGAATCCTCAATTGTCACAAGAACTAGCGTGCTCATTGGAAGATGTCCCCATTATTTCTGTTACGGTGACAACCCAAAATTTGGAATTTACTTTCATTCTTGGTGATAACAGAAAACAGGACAAATAGAGAGGGTGAATCCCCCGAACTGGCGCACAGACAACATTAAGACCTGACAGGTGATCTAGTCCCTCTCCACTTTATCCAAACTTTTAAAAAAAGGGTTTGGGTTTAAGTTATATTTTAAAGGCCCACTGGCTTCAGTGCTTTCGACACTAAACTTGAACACACCTATGCCGATCACGAATGTCAGAAGTTGTATTTTGCATATCTGTTCTGGGTAAGTAACTTAACCACTTCCCGTCTGGACCATGTACATAAACGGCCAGACGAGAGCAGTGCAGGAGCGGGTGGCCGTTCCTTCCCTGCCTGTACGCGCTCCGATCACTGTATGGGACCTCTGTGTGAGGTCCCGATCATGTGATCACTGATTGGCCAATCAGTGATCACATGAATAGTAGTAAGCAAGATGTCACTTCTGACATCATTGCTTACTACTAGTGAAATCTGTGAATGATCACAGAGGTCACATGGTACAAGGCTATTCACAACAGTCTTGTACCATGTGACAAGCTGTGACCAATCACAGCTCACACAGTATTTTTCAATGACTGCAAGAATGCAGACAGAGAGAAGGAGAAATGATTGTTTTTACAGCCTTTTGTGGGTGTAAAAGCAATCAGTGTGTAAAAAAAAAATAAAAATCTTCATCACCCCCCACAAGTAGTACAGTGTTGCTATGGTGACACTGTACTGCTAGGGTGACAGTATGTTAAAAAAACATAAATAATAATATAAAAGATAAAATAAAAATGTAAAAAATGTTTTTGAAAAATTATAATTTTTGGTTATAAACTAATTTGGGTTATTTTTTTAAAGATAGCTGAATAAATTTTGGCCAAGATTTATGAAGAAAGATTATTTATTTGCAAAATGTTATAAGAAAAACACTTTTTTTCAAAATGTTTGGACATTTTCATTTATATAGCAAAAAATACAAATCCCAGTGGTGAATAAATACCACCAAAATAAAGTTTTATCTGTCTCAAAAAATGCTAAAAAAATTCATATAGGTACAGTGTTGCATGACCACGCAATTGTCATTCAAAGTGTGATAGTGCTGAAAATTGGCCAGGACAGGAAGGAGGTGAAAGTTTCCAGACTTGAAGTGGTTAAAGTATTGAAGCTAGACAACCAGCATGATAGCTAGACAACTAGCAGTATGAGTGGTCAGCAAGGACAGCCTCCATGGTTTCCCTGGGAAAGGTTTTCTTTAAGGTCCGTTTTAATGTTAGGAGTAAAAAACGTTGATTACGGGACTGGCCATAAAAAAGCATAGTGGGGCTGCAGTTTTCATGGATCATGGTTAAGCCCCTGGTCACATTGGGTGCGACTTGGCATGCGAATTGCATGCCATGCGTCTTGAAAATCGTATGCTAAGTCGCACCCTATTGTCCGCTATTAGAGTGATCATATCAGTGTGGTTCCGATTTGTTTGGAGCCGTACTGATTTCTAAAGTAGTTCATGCACTACTTTTGTTACGATTTGCATAGACATCTGTGTCAGATATCTTGTAAATCGCAATGAAATCCACTGGTCACCTGATTTTGAAATTGTCCGAGTTCACTGTAAGTCGTACAATTTCAAAATCGGCTTTGATGTGACCGGGTGTAACAGTCCCTGGTGGCCTAGTTTGGTAAAGGTGGTAAAAAGCTGCTAGCAGGGTCAGGACAAAGGCACAAGAAGTGCTTTCCTTTGGAGCTGCAGTTTGCAGGCTGCATTCATGGATATATTGCAACAGAGTTCTTAGAATGCATTTAGATTACTGACCAAATAAATGAGGCCTGCAGCCAGGGGCGGATTGACCATTTGGAAACTCGGACACTGCCCGAGGGCCCGGGGTCAATAGGGGGCCCCATGAGATGCCCCTGGTACCTTTTTCATAGGTTTTTTTTGAGTTTGGGCAAGGAAACAGGGGCCCCATGATCCCCTATTGCCCTGGGGCCCCATGAGTTGCCAGTCCACCCCTGCCTGGTACCTTTTTATAGGCTTTTTTTGGGTGTGCTTTGAGTGTCGGCAAAGACACAGGGGCCCCATGATCCCCTATTGCCTGGGGGCCCCATGAGTTATCAGTCCACCCCTGCCTGCAGCAAGTGTCTGCAAGCTGCATTCGTAAATACACTGTAACAATCTTTCATCGACATTTTAAGGCAGCCTTTCTCAACCTTTTCCACACAGAGGAACCCTTGAAATAACCGTCCTGTCTCAGGGAACCCCTGCTAAAAATTATTATATCCAGAACTCATGATACATTAGTGCGATGGTCAGTGAGCTGAATGCTCTTTACACTTGTGGTCATTGGGAAAAATTAGCCCATTTTAGATAGCTAAAAAGACCAATGGGGGTTTATTTACTAAAGCTGGAGAGTCCAAAATCAGACTCCCTTCTGCATAGAAACCAATCAGCTTCTAACCTCAGATTGTTCAATGAAGCTTTGGCAATGAAACCTGGAAGCTGATTGGTTTCTATGCAGAAGGGAGTCTGATTTTGGACTCTCCAGCTTTAGTAAATAAACCCCATGGTGTCAGTGGGAACTTTTATGAGAGGCAGAAATTGCTTATTGCTCAAGGAACCCCTGGTAACCTCTGGAGGAACCCTTGGGGTTCCAAGGAACTCAAGTTGAGAAACCCTATATTAAGGTTTCAGGTTGCAGTAATACAACTTGCAAAGTGTATTGGATAGTGCTTACATGCAAATCAAAGACTTCTTCTTTAATTTTCGTTTAAAGTGTTCCATCACTTGACACTGGTCTTCTCAAGGTCCCCATGCATGTTCTCGGTTTGCAGTGACAGCAGTTTCGTGCTTTTTCTTTAAAATGAGCAGTATCAAAACCTGCTGCTGAAAATGTGCAATAGACAATGTTGATTAGAGCTCAAGCTCCTATTGGGAATTGAATCAATGTCTGAGGAGCTCTCAAATGTTACTCTTAAATGGTTTCAGTCTATGGAGAGAATGCTTTCTGCGAATAGTGCGAATAGCTATACCCAAAGTAGGATTGTGAACATCCTATGGGAGATAAGACATGTTCCATCTTTTTTTTTTGCTTTCAAAGTTTAATACTGGGAAAAGGGAGAGTTCCATTATAAGTGGTACTAAATCTGTTCCATACATTCATTCGCTTTAAAGATGGCCCTTTGATAACGTGCTCATAAGCACGAAACGCATCAGAGACGAGCCTAGCCGGTGACGTCATGCCGTCCGAGCCACGTGGAGGCCGGTGGCCATCTTTGTTTCTGATATATCCCCTTACATGTGAGTGTATATCTGCTATACCAAAACCAATAAAGAATCTAAATTGCTACACTATCAAAGTTTCTGTTTGGGCTCGCTGTACCACGAGCCCCTCCCTTCAAGGTGGATTCCTATTTTGACGCTCTATACCTTATCTGGTGGGCTTACTGGATATCTGTGGATTCGTTACACATGGATAAGGACCCCCTGCTGGATGGATGAGTTACCACAGTTAGGGTAGATGTTTTGCTGATCACCTGCCGGGCTGATGGTTTGCCAGATGATCTTCAGAATTTTTCCCTTCCAGTTCCAGAGAACCAGGAGTGGTCTGACAACTCAAATGCACAGATTTGTGCGCTATCCGGTTAGTGCATGATATATATCCACCTATGAGCACAAGAATTCACAGATTTTTCACCTCGAATTGGGATGCTATACCATCATATCGTGGGATGTGATAACTTACAGATTTAGTCACTATATGCACTTTATAGTGTCACTGTTATAGACTCTATTAATTATTTATTATTGTCGTTTGTTAATGCCGGATACATCATATATTTATGTTTTTTTATTATTAACATCTTATATCTTATACTTAGCGCTGCATTTTTATATCATCTTACTGTGAAGGTTTTGAGGCTGTACCTTTATGCTAGCTGCTCATATACTCGTCCAAGCGCTCATAATAACCTCCCTCTTATCATACAAATGGCAACTTTCTAGCAAATTACATCACTTTAAACCAGCTTTTATTTGAAGAATATGAGTGAATGGATCAGTAAATCCCATGAACATCTATGGCTGGAATGTTACGATGACTTGATCTGTTCTATGATTTTTGCAGTTTTAAGCTGTTGACAATGGTTGAAATTTCTATTTTTTTATTGGGTCCACAGCTTGACTACCAAAATATATATGATATTTCCTTCTTTGAGATATGTTTTATATTTCAGATTTTTACATTCTGGTAACATTAATATTATTATTATTATTATTAGGGATGTACCGAAATTTTGGTGGGCGAAACATTTTGGCCGAAAACGCACAGATACAGGTGACAAAAAACCCGCCCCTCACTGCCGCTCACCCGCCGCTGCCCGCCTGCCGGCTGCTGCCGCTTGGTAGTTCAGCCTTACCTGAGAAACCACCTGGCGCTGGGCATAGAGATGAGTGAAGGAAAGATGGCCGCCACACATCTCTATGCCCTTGGAGGACTGGAGCGATGTCACTTCCCGTTCCGGCCATTTTTTTTTTATTAAAGCACTAGATCGATGTTTTTTTTGATCCAGTGCTTTACATTGCAGAGGAGAGATATGGGGTCTTATTGACCCCATATCTCTCCATAAAGAGAACCTGTCACTAATTATTTCTATCACAAGGGATGCATGCATTTCTTGTGATAAGAATAAAAGTAATTAAACATTTTTTTTTTAAAGGAACAGTGCAAAAGAAACAAGCAAAAAAACCCCAAAACATTAAATACATTTTTTAAAAAAAGTTTAAAGTGCCCCCGTCCCCCCCGTGCTTGCACGTAGTGGTGAACGCATATGTAGCCCATGCCTACATATGTAAATGGTGTTCAAACCACACATGTGAGGTATCGCCACGAACGTCGGAGCAAAAGCAATAATTCTCGCACTAGAACTCCTCTGTAACTTTACCCTGCTAACCTGTAGAAATTTTTAAAGCATCACCCATGGAGATTTTTAAGTACCGCAGTTTCACGCCATTCCACGAGCGTGCGCAATTTTAAAGCGTGACATGTTGGGTATCTATTTACTAGCCGTCGCCTCCTCTTTCATATTTTACAAAAAAATTGGGGTATATATTGTTTTTTTCATCAAAGTGTATTTTAAAAAAAAAATATATATATTTATTTTTAAAAACTGCACATTTCAGTTTCAGTTTTGGTTTTCAGCCAAGTGCATTTTGAATTTTCGGTTTCGGTTTCAGCACCAGAATTTTCATTTCGGTGCACCACTAATTATTATACAGGATTTATATAGTGCCAAGAGTCTGCACAGCACTTTCCAATCTAAAGGGAGACAGTACAGTTACAATACAATAAAATACAAGAGGGTTAAGAGGACCCTGCTCATAGGAGCTTACAATGTAATAGAACATACAGAAAACATTCTATCCAAGCAAACAAGCTTGGAAGTTATCAGTAGCAGTAAATGAAGTCAATTAAGATATTTGTAAGATATCAAAGGAAGGGAAAACATTGCTGTTGCGTTGATGAATTCTGGATGTTTCCTTTTATATTAAAGTATTTATAGAGTCAATTTTTAATCAATGC